ATTTAACTTCACTTTTAATTAAAAAATTTGTTTTTAAAAAGTGGCTCATCGTGCAGCCTGAGACACATCCTCAGGAGATAAAGTGAATACCATTATTGGCCAGGTCTAATTTAATTGTATTTTCCTGACTTTTATTAATGAAAAATTAAATTAATATTTTTCAGCTGAAATATTAAAGATTACCAGTTACGAGCACAAAATCACCATTATTATTTTATCTTTAATGGAACAAAAAGTATTAGCACCAGATCTATTCAGACACCCAATTCTTAAACTAATGAGAATTTTGAAAACAGTATAATGGGAAAATGACTTGTCCGGTGAAGTCAGGGCAAAAATTCCAATGACGACAGTAGTACCAGGCTCCTGAGCCTGAACCTGACTTGGGATGGCAGTGACTTTACAGCGTTGTAACACCAGTGATCTCACGGCAAGCTAATTTGCAGTAGCGCTGCTTGAATGAGAATGAGACCCCCTAATTCACAATTGCTTTTACTTTGAGAAGACTTTTAGTCTTTGGCTTCTCATTAGTTGCAGATCTGCAACTAAATTATATATTTTAGGGAAAAAAATCCAGTTCTTCATGTTCGACGTATAGAAACAGGACTTATTAAGCAACCGTCTGTCTTTGTGAAGTGCTGTCACCAAGACAACTGACATCTGTTTCCAGTTGGCTAATTAATTCAGGGGGATAATGACACATATTTCATATCATTTATAGTCCCTTACAAGTCTCTTCATATACATAAAAAATAATTGCTTCCATTGCAATTGTGCGAACCGGAGAAGCTTTGCATCTACCAGGGCTGCAACAATTCTCTGATCTCGAGCTTTGGAGCCTCTGTTTTCATGCGCCTGCACTTTGCTGGGTGGTCAGGGCTGTAAAGGCAACTCCCTGCACCGTTAAAAATGGCAAGGGTTTGTGATCATTTTGGACAGTGGTTTTAGGACTGGAAGGAATCAGTCAGCAGTCACAGTCAGCCTAAGAAAGACAATGAAGTATCCCTCTGTGAAAAACGCAACTAAAGGTTAATATAGCTTGGACTGGGTTTATCTGTGACTGGTAGTGATAAGCTACCAGGCATCACTATTGCAGCTACACGGCATAGCTTTTGCTTTCTTCTGCTGCCCATCTCATGTACCTAAATGTGTGAGGGGGAAAAGGGCGTGAGAGGTGCAGAAGGGGCCTTTTTCCACAGCTCTCGGTCACTTTGGAGCTGGGACCAGCCCCACAGGGCCTCAAGCCTTTGCAGAGGACAAGATGAACAAGACGACTTGGCAAACGACGCTTTCACATCTGCAGCATCCCACAAGCTATTTTGTGTAAAAATTGTGATTTTTTTGCATTTTTGATTAAATATACAGAACTCTATTGATCTGCAAGCTGTAGTAGCTCACAAGAGATGCTAAGGATTTAAGGAGCTAAGATTTTCTTGGAGGAACTGTCAGTCTACCATAGAACATTGGAGTTCTATGGATAAGATCTGTCAAAGTTTGCACTAAGGTGTTATCCATGTTGAGGATTTATACAGTAAATGTATTTAGATCCATTTTCAAATTTAATCTGAGGTGTTCATAGGTATTCTGGGCCCTATCGTGTTTTAGGATTAGCCCCATGGGGCTACTCTGTGGAAGTGGTGATAATCAATGTATTCTTTTTTCACCATTCGAGAACAGCCAGGAGCTTCTTCTAATGTAATCAGCAGCAAAATGGTTAATGAAATTGCATTTATCCAGTGTTTTGGGCTGTTTACCTGTAAAAGTAGGAAAATTGCACCTCGTTGGTTCCTATTTACCTGTTCTTCTTCTTAGTCCTGAATGCAAGGGTCATTTCCTAATTAAATGAAGCTTAAATTGTGGAGTGTCTGATACTGCCACCAGAGAATTACTAGTGCTATTCTGATCGCTCTCTAGTTTTCCACTTTGTAGCTAGCTCCTAACATCTGACTGCCGCTGCGTGATTGCTCAGTCCAGACTCCTTGCACTACTATGGCAGTAATTCTGCCCCACACAGTAACTTTTCAGATTATTCCAAAACAAAAGGAATTGATATCTTGAATTGTAGTAATCTTTACAATGCCTGTTAAAAAATTTGCATAATTATAAAAGTATAGTATTGGACCATATTATTCAATCAGAAGAAAAGACCAGGCAGAAGGCTGGTGCAGAAATAATGCTTAGCTTTAGATGGAATAATTTGTTCATTCCAGCATCTGCACATATGTAGTCATCAGGGAGTTACTGGGCTACATGCGTTTGTTTTTTAAAACATCTGTCAACTAAGTCAAAAATCTCAATGCAAAATGTTACATTGGTTACATTTGTGCATTTCTTACATTTCCTGGTGGAATTTCATTTTGTATACTAATCATGGGAGAATATGGAGATAAAAATAGGATTAAATCTGTGTGCATGTGTCAACTTTGGACAAATGACTTGCCCCATTCTCCTTTAATTGTATAAGCAAGTAAGTTATGCCTACTCAAGATATGAGATGCAGTTGCTTTATTTCGCCTCAGGTATCATATTGCCAGTGAAGAAAGAGGCATATCACGTACATGCTTCTTTTGTCCCAGTAATGAAATGCAGGCTGTGCAGAGCCTTAAGCTACTCTAACAGTTTCATGACATGATCTAGCTGATTACTGCAGCCACATGGCAAAACTCGTTTCACTGTCATGTATGAAGGAGGCTACAAGCCGTTTGACCAAATGCTTTGTTGCACTTAGGTGCATTGTACTGTTGTCCCTATGGTTCAGTGTTACTGTCTTTCACTGTTACCTGGGGTAGAAAATATTCATGGGGAACTAACTCACAGGCTAAATAAGCACAAAACTAGTAGTTATTTGATATACAGCATTAAGCTATTTCTAAGATACTGCCATAGACAACTTTACCATTACATACCATTGACCTATATTTGTGATATTGGACATTTTTGATAAATACTGTCAAGGATAATCCATCACAGAACAAGTTTTCAGAGTTTCGGGAAGTTTATTAAGCTCTCTTAATTCAAATATAGAAGTGTTTCAGAAAATAATATTTTATATTTGTAAGTTGAGTAAGAAGTTTTCCAAGTAAGAAAATTACTAGGGAGTCTATTTTCAGAGGAATACAAAGTGTCTTCAGTTAACAGAGTATGTAGTCCAGGTGAGTAAATAGATCTGCCTGTTGGCTAGGGACCATGTAGGTTTCTGCAGTATGCATCTTTAAATCCCTGCCACTTCAGATTTGGGGTGACCACCATTTTAGTGGAAGAACGAAATGTGGAATAAGCTTAGCAGTATTGATGGTGTTGAAGATCTGTATAGTTTCCAAACTGAGCACAGTTTTTAAATAACATAACCATGTAGACCTGTCTCCTGATCTCTTAAGTGCTAAGTCCCCCAAGACTCGTATCCTTTTCTCTCATGTTATTCAGTAGCTTTGTGTGAATACCTTTGTCTGGCTTTGATATGGCTAATAAGGCATTCAAAGCACTGAGGACCTCAAAAAGGCCCAAGAACTGTAGACTGACTTAAAAATCTCTGGGTAAATGCTCTTGATGATGGGGAAGCATTATGAAAGAAACTAGTTCACTGAAGTATCTGAGCAATGCTTAAAGCAACTGTGGTTCATTCAGGTGTTTCATAAAGCTAAATACTGAGATAAACCGTGCACCCTTCTGGTTAACATTCAATGTAAACTGAAAACATAACTAAGTGTCTCTTGCATGCCCCCGGCGCTCCAGCGTGTGCTGTGCTATCTCAGCTTGCCTAATACTTCTGCAGATTCATACTAATATGAGAGAGCATGAGAGGCTTGTGGGACTCTGCAGCTTGGCTCTGCCGTCGATCTGCAGGGTCCGCAGCAACCCTGAGAGCTGCCTCTTGGAGGAAGGCCTTGACCTGTTTCATGTCATAGTCCATCGCTTTATAGACACAGGCAACCAGGATATTCTAGCTGTTCAACAATATCAGATAGTGCAGAGAAATCCAGCAGAGTGAGTGGAGACAAGTGTGATGTTTAAAATGATATACAGGCTGGAAGACTTACGGGAGGATACTGCTTACTGCTATGGTTAAATGCTGCTTTACACTTTGAAGCTATTGTAGTCATTAATGCTATCAGAAGGTTATTTTTTGCCACTAATGCTCAAATTTCTGACTTTTTCCTTCTGCCCTCTCTGTTGCCCTGAGAGCGGGTGTGCTTTTGTATGTAATAGGAATATGAAGGGATATAAGTGGGGAGTATCATAGTAAATTTTGTAACGCTTGCTCAGCAGTACTATTGGAATTTGGACAGAAGCAAGGTATTTGAACCAGCCCACTGATGGTAATACTTATGTGCGAGCAAGATCGTTCATCATACCTGGTAAAAGTAGTAGACTGCCAGGGCAAAGTCTAGGGAATATGTCTATCCTGTGTTTCTTACGTGTGCGTGAGCCTACTTGATAATGCTAACTGTGCACGTAGTTCAGAGATTACTTGTGAAAGGCATGGTGAATAGATTTAAGAGAATGTTATCTTTTATTCATCGTGCATTTCCTTTTCTCCCTTCTCACCCTCTCTAACCATTAGCTGGCTGTTCCTCACTCTGTGATCCCTAATGTCAGCATCCTTCCCATCCTTGTGAATCTCTTTCATCCTTGTCACTCACATTTTGCCTGCATCTCTCCATTTTCTTCTCCAGTCTCCCCCTTCCCTTGCTCCTTTCTCTTCCCCTTTCATTTTCCTTTCCTCCTCACTCATTTTTGAGCCTGTTTTTTTGGTTTTCCATGCCTGTACCTGCTTTGTTTTTCCCTCATTCTACAGAATTCTTCCTCCGTTTGATCTCGCCTCTCGTTTCCTCTGCTCTTTGTTTGCCTTGCGCTGCTCTGTTCCGCGTCTGCTGTACCTGTGTCGCGGACTAAGTTGTTAAAAGGTTTAAAGAAAAAAAGGCTTCACTCCGCAAGGCTATTCATTTAATGAGTACAACGTGTTCTTTTTAACCGGATATTTGTGTTCCTTTCTCAGGTCTTAAAAATTAGCCTGATCGGCCACCGGAAGCGCGTTCTGGCCTCCTTGGGAGACAGACTTCACGAAGATCCTCCTCAGAAACCACCTCGCTCAATAACCCTCAGGGTGAGTCCCCGTGGAAATTTGTTTGCATTTCGTGACAAGTGAGCCGGCATTTCATAAGGATCACATGAGAAGAGCAGCCACTTAGAGGGGCATTCAACTTCTCTCACTTCAGACGCTTGCAGTGAGGATGCTTTCAGCTGCCCTGCTCGCTCGCAGCTCCCTTTGTAGTCAGTGGAGGCAAACTGACATTTTTACCGTGTGATTCACCTGACCTGTTAAACTGGGTCAGAAGTAGATGTCTGCAAGCTGCATGTCTACTGTAGTCCATGGGAATCCCAGCCCCTGTGACTGACATTGCAGAAGAAGAGTTCCCATTTTCCTTTCACGTTTTCAAAATGCTGATCACTGACTTTGCAGACACATGCTTTATGCCTTCGGTAAGGAGAGCCTCTTGAAACCGTTGAGATACAAATGCCGTCAAGATTTCTTCTTCTTACTTCTGTGTATCAAAAAGTTTCCTGTCATTTTTATTTTTCATTAATATTCCCTCCTTCAGGGCCATTGTTACAATGTCCCTGGGGTTTTTCCACACTTGCCCAGTCGTAATCTCCTCTCATTACAGCAGCTTCACTTGGTTTCTCTGTTCCGACATTTGTGCTTCCTCACTGTCTGTTATCCTTATCGTGTTGTGGCCCGATGGCCCATTCCTACGGTGTTCTCGCCAAGGGGGCTTATGTTCATCAACACTTTCTATTTAGGTATTTTAGGTCAGATCTTTTGCATTTGATTGGATTTGATTATTTACATGGAGCTGCTTTTCAGACTGGAATCTCATTTGGGACTGGATTTCCAGATATCAGAGGTCACTGTATGCTCCCAGGTTCCTCTTCCTGGTGGAAAGAGAAACAGAGAAGGAGAGAATGTGGGCTGGTTTTTATGCCCTTCTTTTTACATACACTTATGATTTCTGTGACCAGCCTGTTTTCACCCTGCTTATGCTCAAATGCCACATAATGCAAACATTTCCAAACATCTCAGATCCACAAAAGCAGTGTATTTGTAATGTCATGTTGAAAAAAGGGTCACAAGTCTAAGATGTCCTGCTCTAAGGGACATTGCGCGAATGTATGGCTATTTTTCTCGTAGTTTATATTTGGATGTATTATGTGACCTGTCTCCTGGTGCATGGCAGGTGTTAAAATGCTCCCAGGAAAGAGGAATAATTTGCCAGCTTTTGAAAGTCGTACATTTTTGCTCAATAGTTTCAGTGCCTTGGACGGGGGAATTAGTTCCTCTTCAGCAGGTGGGAAAGTTTCCACAGCCTACTGTATTGGTTAGCATTGTATATTCTCAGCTAATAGTGAGGGGAAAACTGGATGTCCTCCATCTGTAGTCAAAATGATAAAAAGTAGTCTGCTGCTCCACAGCTAGAACTCCTGATGCTGGCAACTGCTAGGTATTATTCGTCACTTCATAGTGTTAGAGTCTTCACGGGGAATCCTAAAGGAAAAGTCATGAGTTTGGATTAAAGTTTTCCTTCCCATCAACTGCTGCTCTGCCGTTTTCACACAAAACAAGGACATCGTATTTGCTCTGTAGTTTGCAATATCTTTTAGTCTGAAAATTGATTTAAATAAAATAAAATCTCTGGTGCTGCTAAAAGATACGTTTATATCTAGTAGAAAAGATGGCTCCTTGTTTAAAGTTTATATCTTTAGGGTCCCAAGGTCAGCCTAAGCACGGCTAACGTTTCTTTTTTTTTTTTCTACTACTTTTATATTAGCTTTTAAGTTTTTCAAAGGAAAAAATGGTTAAATATTGAGGAAGAGTAAAAAAATGTACATATTGCTACCAAATATATTATTCCTTCAATAACTCTATACTGAAAAAAATTATGATTTCAAAGTCATATGACTTCTAACTCAAAAGTTAGAAAATATTGGAACAAAGGTTACCTGTGCAGTCTTAATTTCTTTCCTTCTTTAAAGCTAAGTGACCATAAGGTGGTACCAAATACATGATAGCAAGCTGCACAGGCATCCATACCTGATCTGCAAATTTGTTATGGAAATGAGCAAGTGGATACAGAATGAAGAAGAGGAATGAAGGAAGAATGAGAGAAAGTTTCATGTTTAAAGGAATAGCTGTAGCTATGAAAATACAGATTTATACCTGCTTTTGCCACAAAGCCATTTTGGACAATGTTTGGCAAGTTATTTAAGTAAACGCCTCACAAACAGTCACTAATTGTATGTTACAAGCATTCTGCGTATTTGGCTGGAGTCTGGAGTCCGATTTATGCAAGTGCTGAGCACACAGAACTGCAAGTTAGATCAGTAGAAGCTGAATTTTCAATATAAGTACTTGGAAAAACAAGCAATAGGTACTGTAACCGGGCATCCATAGTGACTGATATTTTTTAACCTTTCTCTATGTGTCTTCATTCCTGTACACTAAAGTGCTGATTATTAAAACCCCAGAATTCCCAGGATGTTCTGAAAATGACTTGATTGAAGTTTGTAAAGCACTTAAGTCTAAACACGAGGATCACCAAAACAGTGATGTTAATCATTCTATCTTCAGAGCAGGATTTGAAGAGTTTAGGGAAAAGGCTTGGGGCCACAAAATGAGGTGAGAGTAAAATACTGACTACATGATAACTAACGATAACACAGTGCTAAATAGATGACAATATGCTGCACAGTTGAGGATCCATCTGTGCTGCGAAGGACTTCTTTGAGAAAATAGCATGCAATCATACAATTAAATACTGTGCCATAATGCAGAGGCACCGTAATTCTTGTACTTCCTGACTTTGTAAGTCTTGCCCGTATAGCCCATATAATAATCTTTCAATGCAGCTTTTTGAATGAATTTCCGCTTTTATTCAGTTTGAAAAAAACATGAAAAACTTGATAAAAGCTGGAATCTTTATATCCATCGCACAGTCATCTGTCACCTAGATACACTGTAGCTGGCTGTATTGGTACTAACGGGGCTGAATCAGGACGAGTGTAAGAGAGAAGTCCCGTTACGAACCCGGCTAGAAGGGCAGGTAGGAATCATTGGAAAAGAAGTCGTTTGGCTCCCCTCTACTCAGATTATTGTCAGTGTGGAGGTGTGTTAGGCGCATGGAAGAACTGGGGATGCATTTTAGAGATTATGTCTCACCAAACCTTCTGAATGTGCGCCGACTACAGCTTTTCAGAAGCTTTTAACTGGGCCAAATGTAGGTGGATTTTCATGAAGGAGGGAGAAAGACTATTCCTAAGAGGAAAGCACTCCTTACTTTGCTCTGGGGAATGTCAAGTACTTGTCTCAAATCATAGGAAAGTGAGAGAATTGAAAAACAAAAAATTCTCTGTGGTTTAAAATGTGATAAACAACATATTTATCCCTGATTTTAGTCAACCAACATGGAAAATACCAATCCATTATTGTGATTGCAAAGGATGATGTCATGAACAAATGAACAGTTTAACATCAGATATTATTATCACTTGAATACATACAGAGACTTGCAACTTTTCTTTCCGTTTGGAAGAGATTACAGCTCTCTCATTTCTTACACTGTCTCTTGTTTCTCAGTAGCAGGGAGTAAAGTACCTTGATGCTTTTCAGAATTAAGTTTGGTCCAATGAAGTCGTGCATAAAATACCAGCTTTAATTCTTTCTTTAAATAAAAAGGCAGGACCCTCCATGCGCCCCAGAGCAGATCTTCGCTTCCTCTCATTGGTGTGAAAATACCTTGAGGTCCCTGGCTGCTATTCAACATTAAAATACAGCATTATAGCAATAGATTATTTAGACAAGCTCTGCACAGTGCAAACCCACTGTGTGGGTATGTTCTCTGCTCCAAAGAATTTACAATCAGAGAAATCTCTAGTGGTAGCAAAGTTGAACCCAGTAACCTGGATGGTGGGAGAGGAATGTATATAGCCACCCAGTTGCTATGACAGTGTTTTACAGTCCACGCAGGGTGGCAGGTAGGTGTGCAGCCTGTCTGGGCAGTACACAGGATACTGTAGCTTTGCTCCTGCAGCTTATAAGCTCCAGGGTAGTGGTGAACACTGTACTTGAGCACTGGTATTCGTACCTTGTGTGTGGGCACAGATGATGTGATATGCATCAGAAGAGGTATCTCCAAACATACAGTGACTGTCTATCACTAATGTGGTAGCAGATCCTAGTAAAATGGATCCTAACACATCAGGAGGATGTGTTTAGTTGCTTGGATAAACTTCACATATCAATTTGCTGTGGTATTTGCACGCTGGTTTATCCAAGGTCACAGTTCAGCATTGATTACAGGAAAAGCCTGGTTAAATATTCATACTTGGATGCTTTCATGCATTCTAGGAATTATTATTTGGTATGTTTCTGATATCCAGTAATTCAAGTTAAAAGTATGTTCTGCCAGACCTATAAAAATTGCGAAGTGTCTATATTTTGTAAATGTTCATACATTTCTTCTTTCCCACAAGAGATGTTGCTGGAGTTCAAATCACTTTCAAATCACTTTCACTGCTGAAAGCTGCTGCTCAGAAGTGGTGAGAATGTACTGCATCTTATAAATAGCATAGTCCTCAATCATGACTTTATTTGGGCATTGACAAGAAGTAGCTCACTGTTGTATCTCTCCAGTAGTCCGATGAAGGGGAGTACATTAGACAGTGAAGTTCTGGGGAATTAATTTGCCACTAGTTCATATGAATAGTAAATTATTTTTCCTTCCATGTAGGCTCTGCACATTAGATAGAACATTTTTGGGGAAAGAGCTAGGTTTCTGACTGTCACCTCTCTCTCCACATGCACAGGCAAAAGAGAAGTATCTCCTTGAACCTGCTTTCCCGCTGTTCACATACAAATGATGTAGAGAGGCTACAAGGAGAAAAAAAGGAGTGATTGCTTGCTACGTGCAGTTGTGAAAAGCAACTTGCAGTCATATCTGTAAAGTTCATTCACAGTAACCTCTGCTTCAGGAGCTGTTGCTTAATTTTTTTAGTATGAATAATTCAAACACACTTTTAAATGTGTAGCTTGGAATCAGCAGTGTGCTATTCTTATTATGCTCTATTTTTCTCCTTACTATCTAGGAACCCAGTGGTAACCACACTCCTCCTCAGTTGTCTCCATCACTTAGCCAAAGCACTTTCACTACTGGTGGCTCCCTGGACGTTCCCCACATTATCATGCAGGGCGATGCAAGGAGAAGGAGAAATGAAAACTATTTTGATGACATTCCTCGGTCAAAGCTGGAGAGGCAGATGGCACAGGTAAGGTCAAAAGCTATCATTAAAAGGCTATGCGTTGCTGCAATCGGTTACAGAATTAATTCTAACTGTTTTTGTGGGTTATATATTAAGGCTGAACTGTAAACTATGAAGAGTAACAGTTTTTCCAAGCTGTGTGTTCCAGTTCTGTATGTGCCAAATGCAGTAAGTCGGTGTGCAGAGATGCTCATGAGAGGCAGCGTTTTGTGGGGGGATTTGGTGCCTCAAGGCTGAGATGAAGGTGGCCCCTGCGCCCCAAGGCATACAGATGCCCACCGGCACTGCCTCTGCCTCTCGTTTCTGTAGGAAGGTGCAGATTCCCTGATTTCTGATCAACGGAGGTAAAAGCAAGCTGGCATAAGTTCGCTGCCAGAACCTCGAAGGACTAGTGTGGGGGGGGATTGCTGCATTGATTAGTGGAGGGGGTCAGCATTCTGCTAAGCTTTGTCATCTAGGATATAGCTGAGTGTTTTAAAAAAAAAAAAAAAGCTTTAACTGTGCAACAACTCATTGGAACATCACAACAGTACTAAATGTTAACTGAACATTAAATCAAACTGTTCACAAAAGAAAGCCTGAAGTATCCTCTGTCTCTAAATTTCTTCACCTAACCGTAATGTAGGTACTGATCATTTTAAATCAAGCATACATTGACCAGAATGAGGTCTTTTAGCCCTCTAGAAGACAGCAAAGTTAAGCTTTGACAGCCCATCAGCAAAAACGCCTCGGGATGAACTCAGCTGTTTTTCAGTGGCACATATGATAAAAGACAGCCAGGTCGCAAAGCATGTGGTGCTTTGCAGTGCATGTCGGAAATACAGCTTTGATTTGCCATCAAAAACAGATGGGAAGCCGGTGCAGTTCAGGGAGCAGCTCCCTCCGACACGGAGCAGGTTGCTGCATCCTGCCCTGCATGAGGCTTCCCAGCGGTTGTCAGGCAGAGCCCAAAACAGAGCCTGCTTCCAAAACGCAGCCTCAACATGGAAGCAGCTATGCAAATAACAGTATTATGGTTAACATAATCAACAGAAGCCTGCAATCCCCGAGCTAATTGCATGAACAAAGAGAAGTAATTAAATAAACAAGCAAAACAAGGTGCTGCTGCTACCTGGGAACACAGGGACAAATTGAATCCCGTTTGTTTGTTCGGGGAGCATTTCTACAGCAGCGAAATTGGATTTGTTTAGGTGGGGCTGTTTCCTTGCCTTTTTAGATCTTCGAATTTTCTGCTGCATGATGTTATTGCACAGAATTAAGGGGAAAGTTGCCTAGTGAATGAGCTTGTTTTCAAACCGAAGTAGACTGGGCTTTTGTGGCAAGAAGAAGTTGAACTGAAGTCCATTGAGGAAAAGCTCAGTTCGTACTGTGAAAGTACTTCTTTGAAGGTCATGAACCTTCAGAGTCTTGAGTATGAAATAGCCAGTTATTCACGGCTGAGCAGACTGGTTTGTCTACTTAGTTTATTTTATCACTTGGTTCACAAATCCCTGTTCTCACTTCTTTTAGTCCCTAGTGATGAAAAAAGATAAAATAAATGTACTAGCAATTCCTCCTTTCTCCTTTTTGCTTTTTTCTCTTCCCATCTGAAGCCCTGATCTTCCCAAGAGGTATGACCCGCTCCCATATATGGCACCTGGAGATTTTCTTCAGGTTGCTGAAATTGCTTTTCCAGAAAGACTGTGATAAGTTGTAAATCCAAAGAAAGAAGCAAGCAGTTAGTACTTCTACCACTTCAAACCACTTTAAAACCAATTAAGCACTATTGGGTTTGGGGTTTTTTTGTTTGTTTGTTTTTTGTGGGAGTCCATACCCCCTGAAGAATTTTCTTCAATGCCTTCTTTCTAACTTTCTCCATGAAATATAGCAGTCATCCTTCAGGACTCCAAAGGGGAAAATGGATTCAGATGAAATCCATAAAACAGTGCTTTGTGTTAGTCCCTGAACTCCAATCTGTTTGAAGTCTTTCTCAGCTCTGCCCCCAAATTCTGCATCGTGACGTATGTAAAATTCCCTTTGACTTTAATGGTAAAGTCAATGACTCCCTCTGGTGATCGTTCTCACTAAATTGGACTCACCCCATTAAGAGGCTAATCAGCAATTTCTTCAACCATTCTGGCCCAAAAATAGATTTTTAAATTTATTTTTCACAGTATGTGAAATTCCGCTTTTACTAAAATGAACCATATTTCCTTCAGTCTTTCCACCAAAAGTCCCTTTGAAATTAAAGGTATAATAATTATTTCTGAAAAATAAAGGAGATCATTTTGATCCTAAACGTGAGCCTTCTGCTCCATTTTTTAACTAGTAATGTCCGCCGCGGAGTTTGCATGTTCCTTTGGCTTATGCCAGATCAACAGCTTCTCAGGCTGCTACCAGTCCTGCTTTCCAACTAGAATGCTTCTTGCAAACACTGTAATCTAGAGCAATGATTGGAATTGCTTTGAGTATATTTTTTTGTTTTAACCGTTTCTTTGCTAGGTTGTTTGCATGCTGCTGTATGAACCTGCATGTTTAACTGTATTTACAGGCCTCCATTGTAGACAGATGTACGCAATGACGGAATCTTTCATGCTGTGATCTTGAAAGGGTTTTAAGTTTATTCTTCACAATGAGATTAATGGGTATTTTGGGGGGCTTTGAAGAGAGAGGCTGACACAGGAATTACAGCTTATTCATTTCATTGCTTTCCTGAACTTGATTTCATTTCGGAAATGTTCGGATAATGCTGTTTTTAGCCTCGATTTCAAATTTAAAATCTGAAGAGGATATTTTGAGGAAGCAATGAGATTGAATGTTTCCATCTTTAGTTTCCACTGAACTTTTACGTGGAAATCATCAAGCATGTTGATCTTTGCATCAGATATCAACCAGTTTGTTAAAATGATACCATGCAAGCACATCAGTTTAAATCTGTTTTCCTTATGTCAGCTAAAATGAGTTTAAGCAATTCTCTAAATCATAATCGAATGTACTTGTAAGTAATAAAACACTACTTTGCTTCCTTGAGGAAACACTGAGTTAAGTTTATTTGATGTGGGTCGTTTTGTCCCAACGCCAGCATGCACCTTCATTCCCAGCTCTGTAGTAGATGGTTTTGGAATCTAAGAGGTAAAACACTAAGATAAACAATGAGTCTAACCAATTTAGGTTCCCCATTGGAATAGATCTGGTCATCCAGCTCTCCAGTTCACAGCCAGCCTGTTAATTTTGAAAGTCTTTGACTTCTGGTTGCATAAAGCACAACTGCCAAAAAAGGTAATACAGAAGATTATGAGATCTTTTAACAACAGCAACAACAACAAAACCAGAAAGGATTGAGTAGTCTGTGTCATCTTTGACTGTGGATGTTGAATCTTGCGCCTGCAAGTTACAGATTAATATGATCAAATGAATGTAGTTTAAAATAGCTGAGGTGATTGCTCTTAAGGTTGCCTAAACCTTTAAATTAGAACTGAAATCATATAGGCAAAGCCTAGGGAGTTTGGAATTTGTTTGGAACCAAAATCAATAGACAGAGTCCTGCTAAAGTCAGTGGGCTCTTAATTCCCCTCTGAAACCACAGGAAAAATACAGTATTTGGGGGAAGAGCTTTGGAGGTTAAAAGGGAGCACTCTTAAGTTCATTAAAATATGCTGATCAAAATGCCAGCTCTTTAGGAGTCATAATTCTCCAGGCAGCAAGAAAACTTTAGTTACCAGGTACAGGCATATCCAAGATTGTAAGTCCCTGAGGTTGTTGCTATTTATTGCTACAGCCAGTGAAATACTATGCTTTCGGTCCCTGTGGTTGGCAAGGTCTCTCCCCGTGGTGTTCGGAGGGCGAAGCCCCCCCGTCCCGTGAGCAGACACATCATGGGGCCGAAGGCATCATCCTCACTCTTGGATAGGTGTGCACGCAGGGAGCTGAGGACTGGGCAGTTCATTGCAGGAGCAGAGCGAGCTCCCAAAAGAGGGTCAGGTGCCTCCGTGATGCTGGTACACACGCTTGCCCTGGGGCTGAGCGTACGGGGAGAGCTCTGTAATTTCGGAGGTGGTGGACAAGCACCACCTTGTGAGTTTAGGGATCTCCAGTGGGTGTCTGCCCTTGGAGGGAAAAGCAGATAATGAGTCACAGTCGGCTTTCTGGTAGGATAAACCTAATCTTGGTCCGTGCAGCGGGCACCCCAGTGGGGTGTGATGGGAGGAAGAGAATCATTTAAGATTTCAGGCAATTGGAAAAATAATTTGCAAAACCCTGGCAGGAGAAATTCTTTCCCAGAGATGCTGAACTCAAATCAAACTTAATTTTGAAGGCTTCTCTAGACTCTTTGTCCCTGTTTTGTGAGGGGTTTTTGTTTCCCTAAAGTAAGATGATTAAAATATATGGTCATTGTAACGACTGGATAGCGCGTTTCAAGTCAAGTTACCCCAATTATTAGGACAGTCATTTACATGGAGATGTTATCAGTATCTGAGATGTGTCTACAATAAAGGAAAAATGTAATAAAAGCAACTGACAGAATTAGAATAGACAGGTTTATATGAAAACTTTTTAGAAATAATTTTTTCCACTTTCTGGAATAATATCTTCCACTCACTAATATCTTCCAAATGCTTAATAGACATTAATGCATTTGTATTTCCAGTGGACCTGCAAGGCTATATAGTTTAAAATTATATTTTTCATTTTACAGTTAGGAAAGTTGAGGAACAAAAATGTTGCAAGTTGGCTAAGAGGACACTGAAAGTTTGTAGCAAACCAAAAATAGAACTCATGTCTTATAGGACCTGTTTTTAGGTTTTTAAGTTTTAACCATAGTATGGTATTTTTTATTTGCTTGTTTCCTGTTCATTTTTTTGTCTTCTTCTCTGCTTTGGAGGGATTTAAAGATCGTGGTGAAAGAAGAAAAATATGTCCAGGAAAAAATTGATGTCTAAGATGAGCTTATGTAAGAAGCAATGAAGAATATTTTATTTTATGAATGGTTGAGAATGCAGGTGAAATAACAGAATTCTTTATTACTG